TGTAAATCTTTATGTTTTTCTGGCCACGTGTCTGTTATCTGCTAAATAACATTGCTAAAATCAAAGCCGCAGCTGTTTTAACTGTTGTCTTTCCAAGATGGAGGGCGTAAGTTTACCGCCAGCACTGACCTCAAAAGTCTCTGCTTGTCTCTAGCAAAACAGAGCCCACCCAAGAAAATGCTGCTACCAAGAAGCTGTGCCTCTCTTTGTTCTTCTGTTTCTAAAATCCCTTTTAAGCTTTTGTCATTCTATGTGGAAATTCATGCCACATGTTGTGGGTGCCATACAATGTAACTGTCCCTTAGCAAGGAGATGGTTATTATGCAAAGAATAAATATTTAAATATACTAATCTAGGAAGAGTTCCAAGACATATCACTAAGTAGGAACTATCACGGAAAAAACTGACCTTAGAAATGTAATAAGCAAAGGACCAGTGAGATGGCTCATTTGATAAAGGCACTTACCTCCAAGCCTGAAGATTTGAGTTCAATCCCTGGAACCTACATGGTGGAGAACTGACTTCCCCAAGTTATCCTCTGACCTCTACACATATGTCGTAGCACTTACCTACTCTCTTCATACACACGCAGAATCAATCACCAATCAATGTAATAAAATGTAGAAATATGAACACAAACCATTTGAAATTTTTTTTTTTGGTTTTACAAGACAGGGTTTCTCTGTATTTTTTGGAGGCTGTTGGTTCAGCCCAGCCTCGAACTCACAGAGATCCGCCTGCCTCTGTCTCCCAAGTGCTGGGATTAAAGGTGTGCGCCACCACCTCCATGCACCATTTGAATTCTTGTTGTTTATATGTGTGTCCAAGCACAGGTGGTCCTTGACCAATACAAGCTTAGAGCCTAAAACCTCATTGTGAGTTGAAGATATTCTGAAGTGAAAATGTGATTAATTGCTGGGGAGTAGTGATGCATGCCTCTAATGCCAGCACTCAGGAAACAGAAATAGGCAGATCTCTGAATTCAAGGTCAGCCTGGTCTACAGGGAAAGTTCCAGGACAGCCAGGGCTCTCTGTGTATAGAGAAACCATGTATTGAAAAAAAAAAACAAAGCAAAAAGAAAATGCAATGAATCACTCACTTTACTGGGCATTTTAGCTCAGTTTCACAGCACACTGTAGAGTCCTGTGGTTTTCCTCAAGATCTCAAGACTAATTAGGAGCTCTGGTCGCTACTGTTGCCCAGGAAAGAGAGATGACCAGACCCAACAGTGCCGTGGCCCAGGAAAAGGCCCACATTTGAATTGGTAGTGTAGTTTCTAATAGATGTACTTTGGCACCACCCTAAAGACACTCAAACAGAACCATTGTTATTGGGGCTGTATATACAACTGTATGGGAAAGACTTGAAGGATATATGTCGAGATATGGGTAATTAAGAATTCTGGGCAAGAGGTGAAATGAGGATGAATTCTACTTTTGACTTTATGCTCATCTGATTTATTTAATTTGAAATAAAAATGTGTCTATATACTAACATTTACACAAGTGACATTATTAGTTACCTTTTCATTTAGAAGTGACCAAAGGTGACAGTGGTATTAAAATGCTGGATTGAAATTAGACAGCGACATCACGTCTAGAAAAGTGGTACAACATTGAGTGCCAAGCACATCTCCCTTCAGGGGGTCACCAGTCACCAAGAGGCTTTGGGGAGGGAACCAGGAGGTCCTAATCACAGCCCGAGGGTCAGATTTGTGTTTTATTCATTCTTGGAGAAGCTTAGACCAGCTGTATACTAGGGCCGAATACAGCAATTGCTTAATGCTGGATGAGTGAATGATCAACCCAAGGAATCAAGTCCCAGCTGAACTTGGGTCAGTCCTCAGCTATTTGCAGAGTGCTCAAGCGGAAAATAGATCTGCTCTTGGTCCTCCTAGCAAGGGCAGAACGAGGCTGGATATAGAGCATGCTGATGTAGGCACAGCAAGGAAGAGACTCTTAGAATCATAAATCCTCCTGGTGGCTGGCTTGCTCTCATGTGGATAGACTAGCTCCATTTTTGGCCCTGTCATCATCTTAAGTCCCCCTGATTCCTTTAGGTTTCTTTGAAGAGTGACCATCCCACACTAGTTGGTTTGGGTACCATTCTCTGATGCCTGACACTCCCTAATCTCTCTAGCTTGCACCAGAGAGAATCCACAGAATGTGTTGACAATCAGACACACAGCATAAAGGCTCAAGTTTGATTATTTTTTAAATCAACTCCAGTCCCAGGGACTAATAGTGTCTGGTACTTAGTTGGTGCTCAATAAATATCAGCTGGTGAAAAAAAACCATGAGGGATGTGAAGAATGGACCATGGACTCTTGTGGGGCTGTGGTTACAACATGGACTCCAGAGACATTGCACAAGATGGAGGTGCAGGCCTGTGGGGTTGTGGGAAGAAGGCCACTCGAGGAATTCCAGAAGGCCAGTCCATATAACCTGCATGTGCTTGGTCTGCTCTTACTGGCCTTTGATCTTGACAGTCCCCAGAGCTGTGCCTTTTGATGAGCCTCCACCCCAGGTGATGGCCTGCTGTCTTTTATGTTGCTATGAAGTTGAAAGGAAACAAGAGACATGGCATGCCTGTTAGGTAGTATAGACTGGTAGCATTCATTCTTTGTTACAGTACTGATTCTCTTTTCTATTCACTTTTTTGTATTTAGTTAGTTTTTTTTCTGTTTTGAGATAGTCTCATGAAGCTCAGGCTGGCGTTGAACTAAGTGTGTTGCTGAGGATGACTTTGAACTTTAGATTCTCCTAGCTTTGCCTCCTAGGTATTGGGGTTACAAGTGTGCTCCTCTGCTCACCATTCCTATTGATCTATTTTCTCCGCAGCTGGAAATGGAACCAATTGCTTGTGCTGGGCATCTTGGCATTGAGCTACTTACTCTTCTGCCATTTTTTCTTGTGTTACTGAGTGACACAGAAATCCCTTGTCTTTGCACCCAGCCCTTCTTCCCCTCCTGGGGTGGCTGGTCTCTGAGGTCTCCGTGTTATGCTTATTTCCATGTCAACATGTACTTTCTCTAAGCTTCCAGTTAACTGGGCTTTGCTGGAGACATTCCTATCTAAGGTGTCATTCACCATCTCCCTCAGGGTCTAGTGCATGGGAAATTGATGATGGGAATACAACACGACTGTCAGGTGGAGGACAGGGTCTACGTAAATCATCCCATTGATTTCCCCAGGCTTGGGAAGTATCGGGGAAGCCCATTGTAAGGGAGGAAACTGAGGCCAGGGTAAGCAGGGAGCTCTCTTCTACCAGCATTTGCAAGCTGCTCTCCGGTGAGTCACCTCGTTAGAAACAGTGCTACCTGAGTCAGCTTAGGCTCAGGAAACCAGTAGAACACTGTTGTCCCACTTACAGTGGTGGCCTGTTTTCTCAATAGGTGGCACCACGTTTCCTTTGTCAGTGAGTGCCACCCAGGTTGGGGTCATCACCTGTAACCGTCACTAAGGGCTTCTCCTCACAGACAAATTGCCAACTGATAGCTCAGGATGGTCTTATTCCAGAAGTCGAGCTTTAATTTTCAAGCTCGTGGCCAGACCGCTCTGTCGGTACTGTGAAATGGTTGCTGGTGGTTTGTAATTAGTTTGGACCTGTCTTTTAATACTGTAAGAGTGATAATCTTCAGAGGGGTGGGAGTGCCACTAGCCATTTAAAAAGCCAGCCGCGTGTTCTTTTAACAGGGTATGTACAGGTCACGCTGGGAGGTGGGAGATTCTTCACTTCTGTTCTATTACTTGAGTGGAACTGGCCTGGGTTTTATCCTTTTCAAGCTATGTAAAGAGTGTATGGTCCTGAATGTGGGTGACAGTTGTATAGCTTGGTCTGTTTGTGGGGGTCCTGGCAGTGGGACAAGGATCTGTCCCTAGCCAATGAGCTGGCTTTTTGGAGCCCATTTCCTATGGTGGGATGCCTTGCTCTTGCTCAACCTTGATGGGGGGCGGGCCGGCTTAGTCCTGCCTCAACTTGATATGCCAGGCTTTTATTGACCCCCCCATGGGAGGCCTAACCCTTTCTGAGGAGGGGATTGAGGGTGTAGAAAGGAGGTGGGAAGAGGGGATGGGAGGAGAGGAAACTGTAGTTGGTATGTAAACTAAATAAAAAAGTATATGGTCCAGCATAAAGATATTACCATTGGTGTTTAAAGTGCTCTGACATCCTCTGATGGGAAGCTTGTACCTTAAAAGACAGAAGTGTTGGTGGTGTCCAGGGGAGTGCTGTCTTCAGGCAGTCACTTCACCGGGACAGGCCTGCCTGGCAAGTTTTATCCCATGGCACTAGACACTGAGGAAACACAAAGCTGTCTCTGGGCCACAAAGGAAATCTTGAAAAAGTTCCACAGAGGGCAATTCTCATGTTGCAGACTTCACGGTGGAAGACATTTTAATTTTGAAATATAAAGAGTGTTATTTGTTTATTTTTGTGATGCTGGTGCTCAAATCTGGGGACTCAGGCATGGGATGTAGGTGTTTTAGTGACAACTACATGCTGAGCCCAAGAACCTCTTAAACTGAATTCCTCTGGTTCTTTTGAGACCAGACTGACCCTGTCCCCAGGGCTTAGCATTTGTAGGCTGTGCCCCAACTCCTACACCACATAGTCCTTAGGATGGGGCTCACTGAGGCTCTTAGGGGTGTTACATATTTAATAGCTGTTTTTCTAGTCACACGGGGTTTTCTGTAACTAGGGCAGAAGAGTCCCAGGACAGTGCATAGGTAATCTGTGAACACACTCAGGGGGCGCTGCAAAAATATAAACTATGAGATATATGTATACACAAATTACTATAGCTGAGCGTAGTGGTGTGCACTTTTAATCTCAGCACTTGGGAGGCAGGGGCGGGTAGATCTTTGTGAGCTCTAGGCCAGCCAGGGTGACATAGTGAGACCTAGTCTCAAAGACAAAACAAAGAAAAACAAAAATAAAACAAAAAAGACTTATTATTGACTGAGTTAAAATTTGGTATTCTATTAAAAACCTTATTTAATTTTAAAGTATACAAAATAATCACTTTTTAATAAATGATATTTAAGAGTTTACAAAATTATTTTAGTGACAAGCATGAAACCATAACTCTTATTTATTGTTACAAAATAGCTTCCCAATGCTATTCTTGACAATAAGAAGTGTCCTCTGTTGGAGTTGCTGAGTGCCATCTTGTGGGAAACACATTAAGCATAACGACAATGCTAAGGTTCAACTTGCCCTAGAAGAATTACATAGTGATCTAAACTCTAGTTTCTGTTTTTCCAAATATCCATATTCCTGTTTCCAGTTAAGAAAGCCAGTGCTGAAGAGGGAAGCAAGCAGGCTTTCATAATACAAAAACTCAGGTTTAATCAACAGAATTTAGAGTCTAGAAGTTCCATTGGTTCTTTGAAAATAGTTAACCCCCTGCCTCCACCCCTTTTGGTTTCTGCACCATTAAGTTGTATTATGGCAGTGAAATTCCCAAACGAACTCATGAAGTCAATGTCCTCTGATGCTGGTGGCCACATCCCACAGCTACAGAGTAGGCAAATGTCAGGAGGGAGGGAGAGGCTGGGTTAGGCTCATAGCAGGTGGCAGCAGTTGGCATATCCTCCTATCTGTCTCTTATGCCAAATGACACTTGAGTTTTTTAATTGAGGCTTCTTCTGGTCAGAAGCCAGCAATAAAAGCTTCCAGTCTGTCTCATTTGAGACAGGTTGTAATGTTGACGGACTGTATTCAACACACCGATGATGAATACATAGGTGACCTCTCAGCCACACTGCAGATTTCTAATAACCAAAAGGCCAGTGCTTTAAAGACCCTATGAGATCTGGTTACACACCATGTTCATACCCCAAACTGAACCTTTGAAATCGGAGGAATGTAAAATGGTGTCCAGATCATTTTGAGAAGAAAAGAACCTATCTTATCTTAAGGCTTTCATTAAAAAAAAGAAGTATGCATTGCTTGAAGCATTAAATACCTTTGTCCATTATTGCAGACTTAGACTATCAAAGCAAATAGCAGAATGGAGATTCTTTACCTTTAACTGGGGGCATCTTGGGGAAGGGTGCCCTGAGGGATGCACAGTGAACTTTCTGGGCACCTTCCTCAGGCCTAGGCTCATCTCTCCTGTCCTCAGAGAAAGAGAAACAATGTGAGATCCTTTGTTTAAACTGTGAATGTATCCTACAAGAATAGTCGCTACCAGCACGGGGTCTCAGTGGAACTGACTTTAGAACCCATTAATACAGGCATAGAATTGGGCCTTTGTTTGGGAGCCTTGGGGGAAGGGAGTCCCATGAAGGCCTCTGGAGTTTCATGTGAGGCCTGCAGGGACTTCGATTGGTGGCATTTAAGATGGGACTATCTGCCTTGGGAAATGTTGGTAGCTAAGCTTTGACAGCTAAGGACAGGCTACCTCATCCTTCCTCAATCTTTGCTCTAGGAGCCAGGCAATGCATTACACTGGTCTTTTTGACTTTCCTGAACAAAATCTAATGAACAAATAGCACAATTCTGTGATATTTAGCAGGATGCAAATTGCAGATACGGCAATCATGAACACTGTGAAGACAGTCTTTTCTGTGGGCCTGGAAATGAAGCAGTCCACCGTATTAGGACAAGGCCAAGCATTGCATTTCACCAGACGCTGCATGAAGAAGCCATTGTACATGATGTAAAAGACATACATGAAGACAGCTTCGAAGATGACCCGGAAGAAGATGCTGGTGGTGTAGGTCCACCACAGGGAACCTTCAATACGGACCTTCTGGGTTTTGATCTCTTCGATGTCCTTAAACTCATTCTTTATCTCTCCCTTCATGAACTTGCGCTTCTTTTCATGTCTCCTGTAGGCCACATGCATGGCCACCAGGAGGGCTGGCGTGGACACGAAGATGAGCTGCAGGGCCCAGAGCCGGATGTGAGAGATGGGGAAGTAGTGGTCGTAGCACACATTCTTACATCCCGGCTGGAGAGTGTTGCACACAAAGTCGGCTTGCTCATCTCCCCACACCTCTTTTGCAGCCACCACGAGGATCATGATGCGGAAAATGAACAGCACAGTGAGCCATATTTTCCCGATGCTGGTGGAGTGTTTGTTGACACCCCCGAGGATAGTCTGTAGCGTGCCCCAATCCATCCTGTCCTCTGGGCGGGTGGCACTAGAAACGAAAAAGGAACACAAGACAGGAATCACTCACTGGTCTGGCCAGAATCCAAGTCCTAGCTCTGTTCTGGATACAGTCTCCTCCAGGATGCTGACAATACAACCTACTTTGCCCTAGGATTGAGTGTGTAGTTCCCAAACCATCTCCAACATGTTTCTGTGTGTTTTGTTTGTGTTTTGTTCACTTGAGTGATTCACCTAGTCTTTAGCACATAATAAAGATGGGGCCACAAGGGTAGACCAAACAAAGTACTGACTAGTCTAAAGGCAAAACCGAGTACTGGCTAAGCCCACCTCGCCTGTTTTCATTTCCATACAGATCACTCAGCAGGCTGTGTTGGCAGCACCAAGCTTTGCAGTATATCACAGTGACAGACACAGCTGCCCAGTTCAGATGACAGAATTTGTGAAATTCCACATGACCCAGTGCCAATTCCCTGCAGTCTCCAGGCTGATGCTGTTTCTTTAAAATATTTTAATACACATGGGCTTGGGAGGCAAGTCATTACTAAAGGTTACATTTACATTCAAGATTCCTCATTTTAACTTTTCACTATAAGCCTTGCTTCCATCTTCTGTGTGAGAGGAGTAGGGTGGAAAAAAAAGTCTCTGCACTTAGGTTTTTACGTGTAGACTGGTCACTCCATTGTCAGGTTGGGACTGTTTGGTTAATGCTCTGCATCTGTTTTGATATGCGTGGCAAGTGAGCTTTGCTACTGTGGACTATGGCTTTAACTTTGACAATGATTCTAAACTAAATATATTATGAAAAAATGGTAGGAGAATTAGCTCAGTGGTTCCCCAGCTACTGGTCCAAGGAACTCACCATCCATGTAGGAAGAAAACTGCCTTGGCGGACACGGTGAGTACTGACCGTGCCCTGGATGATCTTCCATTTCGTCCCAGGGAAGGAGCTGTCCTCACTGATTCATAGCTACACCCTGTCTGTCACAATCACCCCCTCTCTGACAAGATCCCACCCTCATGAGTCACTTGCTTTCCACCCCTTCCTCGCTGAAATGAATCCTCCTGCTCGTACTTAAAATCATCCTGCCCTCCTGTTGTAGGCAAGTCTCAGCCTGTTTCCCGTGGACTAAACCGGCTCAGGGTGAAAGTCCCTCCTTGCCCATGGTGACTGCTGCAGAACACCAAGGTCTTGGCGGGACCCACTCAACTGGGCCACGGGAAGCTGACAGACACTGGTGAGACATCAAGTCCTGTTAAGCTTGGAAATGGAATCTCCTCAGGAAGAAAGAGTGGCAGAGCAGGTTCAGCCCTGACCCATTTCTACCTGGACTGTTCCCTGGAGGAGCTGGGTGTCCTGAACCGCCTCACAGCTCCATGTAGTCTGCCCCCAACAAGCAAAGCATTGAAAGCAACAGTGTTCCAAGTTTAACAAAGCAATCAGATTGGATTAGACCTTCTGCTCTTCATGCCCACTCTGAGTGGAGATCAGAATACTGACTGAAATAAACATCTACGCACCTGACCCAAAACAGAGCTAGAGGGTGAGTGGGACATGGCCCTCGCCTGCCTATAGCATCCACAGACTAGTCCGATTATTGTCAATAGAGAAAAATAAACTTGTGAATAAAATCTTCACTTGTCTATAAAAACGGCTTTGTTGCGTTTGCTATGTTACCCAGGTTGACTTTTAACTCCATGCAGCTGGGGGTATACGCATCTATAATCTCAGAACTCTGGAGGCCGAGGCAACAGGATGTTGCTAACTCAGCAAAACTTGGGCCGCAGAGGGAGACCTTGGCTCAACAAACAAACAAACAAAAACAGAGATCACCGAAAGAGAGAAAAACAAAGCAAAAACCAAACCAAATAAAAACGCAACAAAAACAGCAGAAAAGGTTGGCAGGACTGAACAAACAAGACCAGGAAAAAACACCGAGAGGAAACCGAGTCTCTGGGTCATTGGTGTGGACCCTGACACATCTGGTTGCAGCTGCCTGTCTTAGCGGCCTTTCCAAGATGAGTGAGAGGTTAAAATTTGACCTCACATGGGGCTTGCAGTACTAAGCCAGAGGAGTGAAATCGTCAATATTCAACTGTGGTGTAGGAGGTGATCTCCCAGTCTCTGACAGGAAGGTCACAGGCAGGTCTTTACCTGGCCTGGGTCACCTGCAGATTGCCTGGAGTGCTGCCAGAGTATGAGGGACTGTCAATCATTAGCTCCCAAAAGGAAGGGAGCTTCTCATCATTATTATTACTACTGTTATTATTATCACACACACATATATGAATATGAGGCCTTATTTTTCTTGAAGGGTACTTCGCGGAGCTGGCACACACCTCCAGATGCTGTGCCCACCTCACCCTTCTCACGACTGTGACTAACTTAGCCCATAGTTTCCAAAGGACTCCGGGTAAATGGAGGCCGGGCTGTGCCAGGCTTCTCAGGACAGTCCCAGGGACCTGGGCCATTCGTCCCATTTAGGCTTTGCGCCCTTCCAGTGAGGCAGCCCCGAGGGGCTGATGCAAGAGTCCAGTGGACACGTTTCTCAGCAGCACACCATCTGTGAGCCTGGGTCTGGACGCTTCCCTTCCAGCTGCAGAGCCCCACCTGAACTCAAACCCTTAAAAAGCGCTCAAGGAAAACGAAAAGCGATCAAAATCAAAACACTCACGTGCAGGCTGGGGTCCCCTAGCTAGCGGGAGCGCCTACCGACGCGCGCGCACTTTGGGCGGTCGGCCGCGTCACCCCAGTGCTTCAGGTGGTAAAGGTCAGTGTCTTCCCACGGAGGCCTCCCGCTTAAACAAACGAAATCGAGTTTTCCTGCTAAGCTTTCGGTTAGTTAAAAACTTTCAATGGCGGCAGACAATGCAGCCAGGAGGCCTCGAGGAAATTCTAGCAAAGAAACACTGGCGACAGGTCGCAGTTGCGCGCGGAACGGCCTGGCCCCCACGTCCCTCCCCGCCCCGCGCGGTGCGGGACCTTCCCGCTCAGGCTGTGCAGAAGCCCCTTGCCCTGTGTGCAGCAGTGATCGCTGCCGGAGCAGCCGGGTCCAATCCCCAGCCCGGCCAGCCGCTCCATGCGCAGAAACCCGTTCGCGGCTCGGGTCCCTCTCCGCGGGTGGCGGTGGCCCCCGGGGACCGCGCAGAGCGATCGGACTTCGGTTTCCCAGGACCGTGGCGGCCCGCACCCCACCTCCCACTTCACGAGTCCCTGCTGGCGAGGCTTGCGCTCCAGACGCCGCGGGGCGTCGCGACCAGGCGCGGGCCACGCCGCTGTGACTCGGGGGGCGCGGATCGGCTGTCGCACCTGCGTTCCGAGGAGCGCGCGGCGCTGGGTGGCGAGAAGCCTGGAAGGAAGGAGCAGGTCTGAGTGAGTAGTGGGGCGGGTCCCTGCTTGGTCCGAAGTGGGTCTCGGACCGGTCCTGGGTTGGTCCAGAGTGTGTCGCGGGCTGATCCGGAGCTGGTCGCCGCTGGTCCCGGCAGAGGCTGCGCTCTGTAGGCGGGAGCGCCGCCGACTGGCTGCGAGTTGGGCGAGCCGAGCGCTCAGAGCGCTGCGATCTTGGACACCTGTCGGCCGTGGCGCCTTTTAACCGCACCCCTCACCCCGCCTCTCTCACCCCGGAGCGATTGAGAAAGTTGCGGAGGAGGCGGCTCCGAGCTGCCCGCCGCCCCCAGCGCTGTGGGCGGGGCTCTCCGGGCACCCAGAGCCTACGGGGCCCTCGAGACGCAGGCTCTCTTTGAGCCCCTGCTCCAACCCCAGCCTCCCTCCCCTGATCCTAGCGCCCCAGACTTTCCCAGTGTCGTGTCCTGTGCGCAGCCTGAACCAAGTCTGCAGACTCCGCGTCACCACCCAGAACCTACGTCGCAAAGCTCCAAATCCCATCTCCTGGCTTTTGGGGGAGTGGGTGATGTTGAAAGAGAGTTGATGATGTTACTACTCTCACTAGTGGAAGCCTGGTATTGCATTCGAGGCTTGGCTGGACATGAAATTCTTTGTGTAGGCCCGCAGCTTCCAAGTGGCTCACGAGGCTCCTCTCCCATAGGGGACCCGCAGCGCAACGATCCAGGGCATCTGGAATTTGGATTCAAGGCAGACTAACAGGGAGCACCATCAGGGCTGGCCAAATTCTGGCTTCTATTTGCCTGAATTCCTGATTCAATTCGGTCACTTTGAACAGTGTGCCAGTGGCTAGGCCAGGGGGCGGTGTTGAGATGTATCTCCAGGGATAGCCTGGAAGTCCCACCCTGGCCTGGAAGTGGACGTGTTACAGCCTCTAGAGGGTCCTGTGATTGTGCCTGACTCTCTGTGTTTTCTTTTCCACAATTGAGATCATTGCAAGGAAGGGGCGCTCAGAGTCTGCAGGAAAGAAAGAGGCCGGCAAGCCGGTCGACAGTCTTGAAGTTCAGGTTGCTGGGAAGACCCTGGGCAGCCTGTGTCTACAGTTCTGGATGTGTATTTCGAGGTCTGTGTTCACACTGCTCGACTAGCTGGGTACTTCTGAGGGGCAAATGACACGAAGTGGATAGTCACAAAGCATTCGGAGAAGAAATTAAAATATCAAGAGCAGGCTGTGCTCGGGTACACCTAGGTCTACCTGCTTCACCCTCCTCAGTTACCCGAGACCTGAGTCCGAGCAGCCAGGTTTGGGGTGCAAGCCTCACGTACTCACAGTTTCCTCAGATCAGTTTTACGTGAAGTAAAGAGGTAGTGATTCATTCTAAAGAGGCCCATGTGGTCTAAGGGATGGCTTTCAGTGATGGCAACCATAGCCGAAGGTGCACGCTTTTCTTGCAAGGCTGTCACATTGCTGCCGGCAGACCTGGCTGCCCTCGAGGGGCAGAGGAGGGGTTTGGGCTGAGGCTGCTACTACCCCCTTCTTTCTAACTGTGTCTTAACCCAATAGGGAGTGTCTGTAATGGAGGAACAAAACCCCAGGAGCCCCACATCCTCAGACTGCCTTCCTGAGAGGCACTGCTTCAGCACCAGAAGAATGACTGGCCGAGCCAGCTGGGGTGGTGCAGCTCCCTTTGCCTGAGCACATCTAGACACGAAGCCAAGGTGGTGAGGTAGAAGGATGTCTGTCTCCTTACTTTCTCGTGAGTAGTATGGTTTTCAGTCCAGTGGAGCACACGTTTGTTCAGTGACAATGAGAGAAGATTTTAGAATCATTGTAGGAAGTTGGCTGGTAAAAAAAAAAAAGAAAGATATGTTGGAGATGAAAGTTGGTTCACTTTTCCCATTGAGCAGTTTCACCTGAGGTTTTTAGTGCCCATGTTATGATTATAGTTTCAACGTCTAGTTCCCACCTTGCTCCTACAGATGTGCATAGTGGCTGTGTGCTGGCTGATTGTCAGATTGTCACAGCCACTGGGAATACTAGGATTCATCTCCTCTAAAGTCTCCACCGAGAGCTCAGTTCTCGATTTTCTTCTGTTTCATGCAGTTGCTCTTGTTTCTTGTGTTATGCTTCCTTCGCAATTAGCCCAGAAACTCCTCTAGGGCAGGAAATGCTAAATTTATTCCTGTCTGTGTATACTTTGGTGAGGGTGTGGGGGGAGAGTAGGGGAGAGGAGAAGAGAGGAGAGGCTGGAAAAGAGTTGGGAATGGTTTGACTGAGATTATCTCGGAATGAAGCTAGGTGTGCATCCAATTAACAAATTATAAAAAAGAATTTGAGTACCCCCCATTGCAAGCATTGCTTTGATAAAGTGAGAGTTGGAAATAAACCCTACTCTTCTCACCCTGCTTCCCATGTTTCCATGTTTCAGAGTACGGGCCCAGGAGAAGCTCAGCTCCAGTAACACGGCGGAGTGGGAGCTCGCCGACCATTCTCTCATTCATGTGGACAAACTAACCACACAGAGAACAGTTGTTTGACTTGGCCTTAAGCAAAGTCCCGTGACATCTTCTAGGCTGGTCTTGAGCGAAGGCCATAGCAAAGCTGGACAGCGGTGAGGGTGAGGAGGGGCCGTGAAGTAGCTATGGATGACCGACCAGCGAGGAACTCTGAGCACTGCACCTTGTGACGTCCACTCGTCCACGTGCCAGGACAGGTGATGAGGCTTTTGTGTCTGGTTAGCACTGGGAGCCCGAGCCCTATCTGGTTATCACTCAGCTGAACTTTCTTGATGATGCTGAAGGGGGACGAGGCTAATGCTTAGGCTACTCAGTATTTTAATTTGATAGTTTTTTAAAAATAAACTCAAAAGAACTCCCCACTGTGCAAGAAATTAGTGCAAGATAAGTTGTACAGCTTGCCATTTTGATGAATGACTGCTTTCTGGCTCTCTCCTGGGGCAGTATCTTGAATCCTGGGAAGGATGTTCTGAACACACACACACACACACACACACACACACACACACACACACACACACACACACACACGTCTCACATTTCTGACTCACAAATCAAATGCAGGCGATGACAGAGAATGTTTCAGAACAAGAAAAGGCTTGTGAGTGTCTGGAGTCCCTGTGTCGCTACTTGACAAGTTTTCAGGCAAGCTGGGCCCATTGGTCGCCTCTGGGAGAGACATCAGTCCTCTGTGCTGCATTCTCCTGAGTTTGCTATTCTAACACTAGTCCTAAGATATGATTAGCAAACCATAGTCAGCTCTTCCCAAAAGAACCAAGGGGCCTCTGGCTTCCCTGGATAGCTAATAACGACTTATATTTGATAATGTCATGTCATGGCAGGAGTGGTTCTTCTGGCCCCGGCCAGTCTGTGTGGGTGATTATTATACGGGATACGCTTTCACTACGATGTCTGTTGTTGTTATTTTGTTGGGTTTGAGTCAGCTTCTCTAGCCTAGGCTGGGCTTGAACTCCCTGTCAGCTAAGGATGATGTGACTTGACGCTTTGGCCTCTTCATCCTCAGTGCCAGCATCACAGGCCTGTACCTTCACATCGGCTTCTTTATTCACTTCAGAGTCGCACCACTCCTATGCTTTCTAAAACTAACTAATCTGAAATCATCAAGGAAGAAAAAGCCAGTTGGTATATTCAGAGTAAAAAATAAAAAGCATTTCAGGCTTTCAACGATTTAACCTCCTCCAAATGAAAGGCATTTAAACCTCCAACTTTAAGCAGTGGGAGCCTGCTGTAAGTGGTTCTGTTTTCTTTGTTTTTAAATTTTTGGCTCAGATGTTCTGGTGAAATCGAGATAGCTGTGTCTCAGCTGCAAGACTGTGGCGGAAGAGGCCTCAGCGTCATGACTGGACGAGCATGGACTCTTACTCGAGGACCCCCAACCCCCCGCTGTGGCTCGTTTGTGATTAATTGAGCAAACCGTGGAAGAATGTCAAAGATCCTTTCAAACATAAGCACACACATATTACCCTGAAAAGCAACAGCCATAACTACCTTTGCTGGCTAGTATGAAGCCTTCCTTTCTGCTGAGTAGAAATGTAAATTCTGTGTGTTACAGTGGCTAGTGAGCATGGAAGGTCCATATCACCCACAGAGGAGTCAACGGGATTCCTGTATTCGAATTTGTGTGACAACAGTTTTGTGTCCTACAGTATTTTGAATTGTTTTTGGAACAATCTGGGGAAGGGGGCCTCATGTGCTATTGTAGCACAAAATTATAGTCAGGGTTGATAATGGATTATTGATTCTTGGTTGTATTATATTGGATAGACAATCACAATTCTGTGTGAAACACTCATCTGTCGTGTTCTAGGTTTATGGGTTTGTTTCCTGGGATTAGGTTTTTGCTCCCAAGGTCTCACTTCTGTTGTGTTCTGCAACCGGCAAATCCCTTTTTCGAGGACTGTATCTGAAATATTTGGCTTGAGAATTCAGAATAGAGCTTATATATGTGGTAACTATTCATTTAAACTTCTCCTTAAACTGAGAGACAGTTCCAGTTTGGGAGAAATGTTCTTAAAAGAAAAGGGGAAAATGATTCTCAGAGCGAGAGTAAGGAATGAAACACAAGTGCTTGTAATACCCAGAAGGCACAGTAGATGGCACTAAGAAGACTCACTCGGAAGCCCTGTACAGGGAGACCGTATGCCGTTTTTCTAGTCTGGTGTTGCTGGTCCTGATCTCATGAGTAGGCAGGGAAATAAATAATTTTTTTCCTACTCCCTTCTTTTCTCTCTCCCTTTCTCTCTTCTTCCTTATGCAGACATGAAACAATAAAAAAGAGAGTATCAGAATGCATTGTTCTTAACAAGGGTGAGTAAGCCTTTGTGAGATGTCTGCACACACAGACTCCCAGATCCCATGTACGGTGCATTTCTTACTGTCAGTTTCTGTCACAAGCAAGCGTGGAAAGCCACTGTTCTGTTCCATTTCCAGGGAGACAAGACATATCATAGTAGCTGCAGATGAAAAGGGCTTATAACACAGAGGAGAGACCTAGAGGCTCCAAATGTCACTGCCCACCTCGGCTGTACCTTAAGTTCACAACTGACAGTCCCTGACAGGCCCCTAACTGGCAAGATGTGCTTCAGGTGGGCAACTTAAGGACTTTCTTCAGGTTGGAAAAGGACATCTAGTCTACCATAGACCTCTTTCCCCAGGACTCCCTATTCTGAGTCGAGAAACAAGGGCAACTTTGGCTATGTCTTTCTCCCCCTACCCCACCCATTTATTTTAATTTTTTTGAAACAAGATCGGCCTGGAGCTTGCTATGTAGACCAGGCTGGCCTAAAACTAGCAGAGATCCGCCTGCCTCTGCCTTCCCATGCTGAGAGTAAAGGAGGTGTCACCATACCCAGCCTTTAGGTCTTTTACTAAATAAAAGTTTGCCTTAAAAGGAGTATAAGTATCACTTTTGATAAATAGCACAGTCACCACCTGTTATATAGTGGATTTACGTATGTAAAGAACTTACATGGGTCAGCTGATTCTGTGGGTTTCCCCATCGTGGTCCTGACTCTTTTGTTCATATTATCGCTCCTCCCTCACTTCGATTGTGCTCCAGGAGCTTGGTCCATTGATTAATTGTAGATTTCTGCATCTGCTTCCATCTGTTTCTGGAAGAGGGTTCTAGTTTCTCTGGGGTTGTGGACTGTAGGCTGGATATCTTTTGCTTTATGTCTGGTATCCACTTATGAGTGAGTACATACTATATTTGTCTTCCTGGTTTTGGGTCTCTCAGTGTAGCCCTGGATGTTCGGAAACGCTCTATGTAGACCAGGCTGGCCTAGAACTCACAGAAATTTTCTTGTCTTTTGCTGGGATTAAAGGTGTGCACCAGCGTGATGGACCTCTGCTAGGCTTTGGAAAGAAATTTTTGCACTTATGATTTATCAGAGGAAACAATTGCAGGTGTAACATGTGAAGTGAGACACACACACACACACACACACACACACACACGCATACATGCATGCACACATGTGCGTGAAGGAATTCCTGAGTGTAAACTGATACAGGTTAGTGTGCTTTTCATTTATGCAAGGTTGGGAATTCCTATGGGTGCAGATGCTTCATGCTTACTTCACAGCAGAAGTCCTCGGAGAAAGTTTCTTCCTTCTTGCTTGATTTCTTGCTTTTTGCCTAAGATAAGGCCTTGTTATGATATCCCAGACTACCTGGAACTCGCCACATACACCAGGCTGACCCTGAACTTACAGTGCCTCCCACCCCAGCTTCTGCTTCCCAAATCCTGGAATAATAAGCATGTGTTACCCATCTAGCCCAAAAGACTACCCCTGATCCTTTCAACAGAAGTAGGAACAAAGTTAAGAATCCATGAGCTGGGCAGGGTGGATGGCTCTGTTGGCAGAGTGACTGTGAGAGTGTGAGGACCTGATTTGGGACCCACAGCACCCGTGAACACTGGTGGTGGCGGTGGACATCTGTAATTCCAATGCATGAGTGAGGGGAGAGGGTGGATCCTGGGAGCTCCTTGGCTAGCCAGTTTTATTGCTCTCCTTCCCTTCTCTTTCTGCTTCTGGGTACCCAAGAAGCCAGCTATTTTAATGCTCACCACCATGATGCTCTGTTAGCAATGCAGCCAGTGGATTAAAACCTCCCCAACTCCCTCCCTTCTCTGAGGACCCATGGCAGTTAATGGTTGGTGGAGAGGGAGAGACATTTTATTTGGTGGAGAAGCTACTGGTAACTTTCCTACATTTCTGTGACTAACCCTTATAACCGTATTCCTGTAAGTAACTCTAATGAAATTCATTTGTTCACTCATGTAAAAAGCAACAATGACAATAACAACGACAACAAAAACCTGAAAGTAGAAGGAAGACGAGCTGAGGAGAATCAGTGGGCATGACACAGGAACAAGAAGAAGGTAAGGCGTGTAAATGTTATCGAAATATACAATATACAAATATGAAAATCATACTTAATTACGTTGCTATGTATAACTTATGTATGCTGATAAAAACTTATAAAACCAACAAAAATAACTTTTCTGAAACCATGAGCCCCAAAAATCCTTTCCTCCCTCTGAGCTGTTCATCTCAGATATTTTGTCACAGTGACAGAAAACTGACCCACATGCAATCATGACTTCTTTTGGTTTTATAATCACACTGAAAAATAGAATTAGACAACTTCAATGTGCTTGAATTCCAGAACCATGTTAGAGCTGACTGCAAGATAAGCCTCAAGCAATATTTAGTCTGTCTTGACTGTTTCTAGTTCAAACACAGATGAGACCAAAGAAACAAAACACTCCCAGGGTATGTGTAGGAGGGAATATTGAACTTAGGCTAGGAGCCCAAGGGTCCTTGTTTGCATCAGGCTTCACTTATGAACTCACATTGTCACTTTGACTTAACATCAACTCAACCTTCATTTTGAAATCTGACTGCTCAGGTTCTCATTCTAGTATCTGGCAGAAAGAAAAGACTTGTGGTCACCAGAAACAAAAAGCAAAACACCCTGGAGATATTTTATATACGACATCCGTCATTTGGTGAAAGATTGTAAACTGTGTAAGAAAGTTGGAGAATGAAACCCACAATCAAGAGGAGAAACAGTCAATAGAAGCAGATCCGCAGGTCCATGGAAACTAAAAGGGTGGAAAAAAGGGTAATGTCAATCCAAGTCAAAGGGAAGCTGGAGTGCTGCATTGTTAAAGCAGCTCAGAGTAAGATGAGCAGAACTGAAAAGGTGTTGCAAACGGGCAAAGCAACATTTCATCAAGAAGACATCAATCCTGACTGTGCATTTACTTCATAGCAGAGTTGTAAAACACAAGAGGCAAAACTGAAAATACCAAAGGGAAAATGACAAAATCTGTATTCACAAACTAACAGAATTCATAGAAAATATTCACAAGATTAAGAACATAGAACATCTAAGCCCTATCAATAAGACGACCTCATTTATATTTGTGGAACATTATGGGTCCCACTCATAAACTTATCTATGCATAACCATATCCCACAAACTCCATCTATTCTCCCCCAAAATTCTGTATCATAAAACAAGTCTCAATAAATTATAAAGAAGGGAAACCACACAGATGTTAATAGAACCAAATTGGATAATTATGTGTCTGGAAGTTACCAAATATTTGGGGATGAAACAACACATGAATAAAAGAAATAATTAAATTTAAAGTATTTTATTTTTATCTTATTCTGTTTTAAGCCAAGATCTCACAGTGTTGCTCAGAGTAGCCTTGGTGTTGGAATCCTTTGCCTCACTCTACAGAGTAGCTGAGATTAATATTTAAGATGGATAAAAGCAACAACAAATAAAAAGTTTGGGGATGCACTTTAAGTAATGCAGAGAAAGAAAATGTTGCCCTATATGTATGTAGCTACAAAAGAAGATAGGTGATCATCCTCATTTGTACCTTAAGAAGTTTCCCACAAAGAACAAGTTAAACTCAGTGTTGGTATAGACAGGAAGATAAAGGTGTTTAAATCGAGGTCATAGAATCAAAAGGGGTATGTATTGACAGTGTAGGAAAGAAGTGAGAACGGATTTTTGATAATGGGTCAGGAGATAGTGGCGAGCACTAGGACTGGGAAGAAAATGTCTTTGGGCATTCTCCGGGTCACCCAGCAGGTTGCTTTCTGTGTCTGCCTGCCGGCCTCCCCAGGCCAGTACAATGGGATGTGATATTTCCCGCAAATGTGAACAGCACATTGGAAAGTCTTCTACCGGACAGCCAAGGTCTGCTGTCTACACCCTTTTCCACTCCCATCTCTTGTCAGGCTCTCTGGTCCTTCCTCATGCCAACTTGGAGCCCACCGGCAGCGTGGCCATCTGCATCGGCTCTTCAGGAGCTGAGGCTGTACACATCTTACATGTAGGGTGGATAATGCCTGGAGCAGCATCATGGTGGGCCCCTCAAGGAAAGAGCCCTTGGTATAAGGGGTGGGGAAGGTGACAGGACGTAAGAATCATGGTTAGAAGGAGGCACTGCTAGGCCAGCACTCTCCCCTGCCTCCGTCCTGGGAGAGGAGACTGACTGGAACGAGAGCCTTCTTTCAGATGATCGCACCACGGTGAGGCATGGAGCAAATGGGGACACTGGATTCTCTCCTGGTGATGAGTTTGGCTTCTGACCTCTTGTGGTACCAGAGGAGATAAGGGAGCACACTCTGAAAGAAAGAGAAAGAAGATAGTCCTAAAGACAATGCAAGCTTCTGGCAGGGAGGCCAGGAGGGCCAGGGCAGCAAAGGACACAGAATGGAGTAAGATAAATAGTCAAAGAGGGAGGAATCCAGGAGAGCTTAGCAGTCAGCAGTGCAGGCTTGCCCTGGAAGAGTGATGGCCCGGTGCAGGGTGTTTGAAAGAATGACTTACTCATCACTGTAAGTCTATCACCAGCCTAATGCTGGTGACCTTCTTGGTGACCCGGAGCCACTCCCAGCCCCTTCCCTGAAAGGAACAAGCTGTGAAAGATCAAACTAAGTTTTGAGTCCATTGGGCTATAAAGATCTGAATCACTTTATGGTGTTTCAACAGTTGTTTTTATCACCCTGTGGCTGAGGAGACACATTTCCAGAGTGAACATTTTAGGAAACAACTGCTTCATAGAACTTTTGGGAAATTGCAGGTGTCCAGATCTATTTAACACCAACATGAGGATGGCCCTAAGGAGCTGGAGCATTTCTCGGCTGTGAGAATTCTGATCAGTAGATCTGGGAACTTCTGGCCTGTGTCTGTGCTCATGTGACTCTTGTGATCTGGTGATTGGACTCAACAACACCTGCGTCCCCCACCTTAGTCACATGTTGACATCCTAACCATGTGAAGGCTCTTGAGGTGAGGTGGAAAGGAATTAGCATACTCTTAGGAGGGTGGGCTCTTTATGCCTACCCTATCCCTCACTCGAGGACACAGGTACAAATCACCAGGGACAGTTCCTCACCGGTGACTAGTGGAACTCTGTGGGTGCCTTATTGTGAACCACCTAGGTCTCCAACTGTGGGAAATAAATCTCCATTGTTTTTGAGTCTTGAAGTCTGTGGTATTCTATTAGAGTGTCCCCAAATCAGGTCAGCACAATTTTGATAGAGTTACCTTGGAGGACCCCTAAGACGACACGTAAAGTCATAAATCCCTGGTATGTGGGTGAGAAGTTGTGACATATTTTTAGCAAGGACTATCTCTGATATTTGGGCTGGCTCAAATACTAATGCTTTTGAGATATTTCCCTCTATAGGCCAGGAAGACCTTGAACCCACTATCATTCAGCCAGTGCTGAGCTTGCAGGCATGTGCTCCATACAGCCAGCTCAAATGCCAAGTCTTGACTAGTGGAACACCCCTCCCCTGTGACTATTCAGGGACTCCAGGAGCATCACTCATCCCCCCTAGGTTTCTCTTCCCCTCACTATGCAGCTCAATCCTGACACCCACACCTCAGCCTCCCAAGTGCTGGCATTACATGCCTGAGTCACGTGCTCAACTTTCCCCTTTCTGGGCATGGGATGTCCAGTGGACACTGGTGGCCAGTTGGAAGGGACTGTCTCTACTTTTTAAAGTTTTTTCCTTTATTGAAAATAGATTTTTTTCTCATATAATATATCCTGGTTATGGTTTCCTTTAACTCTATTCCTCCCAGCTCCTCCCCACCTCCCCGCCCATTTGGATTCACTCCCTTTCTGTTTCTCATTAGAAAACAAACAGACTTCCAAGGGATAACAAAATAAAGTATAATAAAATGAAACAAAAACTAACACACCAGAATAGGACAAAACAAACAGAAGGAAAAGAGCCCAAGGAATCCCATAAAAAACTCAAAACTGGAAGCCACAATATCTATGCAAAGAACCTGTAGGGTCAAAAGGAGAAGAATAAGTAAATATATAAGTAAAATAAGAAACAAAAAAGATTTTAAAAAATGAATTTTGAATAGGAGAGTAGTCTCTCAGGGGCACTCACAAGTAATACTTCAAACAGTTAAATAATTCCTTACAACATAGTGCTAAACAAAAATCAAAACACCAAGTAAACCCCAAGTCCATAAGTATACAAAAGTATTAGGAAAACTGAGCAAGGTTATTTTATTGCCTGTCTAATAAATCATATATAGACATAGTTTAGCTGACAAGCACCTCCATGTTTCTGAAGATGATGAATGACGGAGTCTGCTCCTGAAATATCATCTTTAAAGAGATTCTTGGCTGTCAAGTCCCAGTTTGCCCACTGATCTGCCCTCTGAATGGTTTCAAGGCATTCTTTTACAGCGCAAATCCCCCTCCCTTCCTATTAAGACAGCCTGAAAGGCCTTGGCCAGACCTGCTCTGTTTGTCAATCAGCACTCACCTAGTTCTCCTAGAGGGTAGGAGAAACCATGGCGACTGCGGCTTGGTGCTGGCAGAGGGAGGTTGTTTACTGGTCTTGAGTCTATGGCAAGGAAGCTAATGAACCTTCTTCCTTACCCAACAGCCAGCCACGCAGCTGGGAGGGAAAGCATTGGTATTCTAGGCACTGATCAATCCAGCACGTTTTTTCGGCTGCTCATTATGTGGAGAGCATGTTGGGGGACAAAGAGGAGGGTCCCTGAAGTAGCAGGGAGAGCCCCCAAATGCACACATAGCCTAGGAGTAGTGGGGTGGGGTGGACTGCCTATCTCCACAGGGCAGACTTTGAACTGGTCCAGAGGACAGGCTGAAAGGGGACATTCCAGGGACAGAGAGAAGTTTTGCAATGTCCAGAGACAAGGGTAAGTAGCTTGGGGGGGGGCAGCAGACACCGGAAGCTGGGGAACAATGGCTGTGGAGATACGAATGAGAGATCATCAGAGAGGATTGTGTTGAGGGTAGAGAGGCAGGAAAACCAGTGATCAGAACACCCATGGATGCAGACAGAAACACGAAAACCCCACAAACTCTTAATGAGCTAATTAGAAATAATCCCAGAAAAGCCTCTGTTTCTGGTGAAAGGGCCAGGGAAAGAGACTCCGAGTGTAATACAGCAGTTTTAGATACTGTGCCGGGACCAGTTACTCCAGCTAAGGCCAGAGGATCTGGGTGAGGCTGTAGCGGGGTGCTTGCTCCACCGAGGATGGACCAGGGAGCTCGAGCAGGAGCTGACTTTCATGCCACCTGGAGCCCAGGCCTCTCTGCTCCATGTTCCCGCGTCAGTCTGGACTGTGGGTTACCTTCTGTGATCCCTTGTGTTGTGCCCTTAGAGGCTTGGTGGGAGTTGGGATTCCCACCATGTTGTTGGTGGAGACCACAGTAGGAGCTGGAGCTCCTACCTTGGTTGTCAGTGGAGGCTAAATACAAACTCTACACTTTCCCTCCCACTGATAGAGTCCAGGACTCACCTGCCCTTGCCACCCAGAGTGGTCTCAGAGAACACTGACTAAAATAACAAATTTTAGAGACATCCACACGTGCTCCAGATGCCTTTGGGACTCTCTTGTTATACCATGAACCAAGAGGTTTCCAACATGAATGAAAAAAAAAATAAGGCCCACATTCAATTCCTAGCCCTCATGTAAAAAGTCAGGCATGGTGACATGTGCTTGTAATCCCGGGGCAGGGGGAAGCTGAGACAAAAACATCGTTGGGGCTTGCTGAGTAGCCAGCCTAGAAGAGTCAGTGAGCCTGGGCTGTGTACTGAAACCCTATCTAAAAAAAACAAGACAAAACTGAAGAGATAATAGAGACGCATCAGAGGACGTTTGCCATTGGCAAAGCTGTCCTGAAGGAAGGTAAGGCCTGCCTGTGAGTCGAACTCACACCTGAAATCTGAGCACCTCAGAGCCTGAAGTGGGTCAGTTTGGGGCAAGCCTGAGCCGTATAGCAAGCTCTGGTTCAATTTGGACTATATAGTGAGGCCCTGTCCTAAACAACAGCAAATAACCACCAGACAGACGTCTCCACACAGGAAGATGATGACGGAAGATGTCTTCAAACACGTGGGCAAAGATGTGGGGGAGCAGTAACGTCTCTCCTTGTGTTTTTAGACTCTGTCTGATAGTTGAAACCAAACGTCCAGTATCTTCTCATGTGGCTCTAAATGCAAAAGACATAAAAAAGGAATTGTCAGTGGGGAGGAGTAGAGGAATAGAGAGAGAGGTAACATTTCTATGTGTCATTCAAACTGGTATAATGGTGACACCGTTTACGCCTATGATGGACTATGTAGAGTAACTTTTAAATAGTGACTCAAAGATAAAATCACAAGTGAAGTGATGCTTCTGGGCTTTCCCTCAGGACTCTCCAGAGTGAGGTAGAAGCAGGCGGGGTCATTTAGAAGAATGATTAGCCAGTAGCAGGTCACATGTCCGGTGGGGTAGGCGTGTGGGTTCTGTTTTGAGACAAGGTCTCACATAGCTCAGGCTGGCTTTGAACTCATTATGTAGCTCAGGATGAGCTTGAACAGATCTGCTGGCCCTGTCTCTCTAGACATGTGGGCTGCTCCTATCTGCAGTGAGGATTAGCTAGACTTTGCAGACAGACCTGGTGTGACTCTTCCTTCTGTCGTGGCCCTGGGCAAGCTAGTGAACTTTTTACCCTGTAGGGCAGATACCAGATGCAGGTAGGCGATACTTCCACGGAAGAGGAAAGGGAGGCAGGAAGAAAAGTTAGAGAGGCACAGCTGCAGGTAGGTCAGCATGCCAGAAATAGGACAAGATTTAAACGTTGTAGCAGACTAGCTGAGAAGCCCTTAGGGTTGGCATTCAGGTCTTCCGTGATGATAATGGCTTTGGTTCAGTGGAGAGTGAGCGTGGGCCCAGATTCAGCCCTGAGAGATAGGTGCGGTAAGAGGACCCAGATTCAGCCCTGAGAGATAGGTGCAGTAAGAGGACCCAGATTCAGCCCTGAGAGATAGGTGCAGTAAGAGGACCCCAGATTCAGCCCTGAGAGATAGGTGCAGTAAGAGGACCCCAGATTCAGTCCTGAGAGATAGGTGCGGTAAGAGGACCCAGATTCAGTCCTGAGATACAGGTGCGGTAAGAGGACCCAGATTCAGTCCTGAGATACAGGTGCGGGAAGAGGACCCAGATTCAGTCCTGAGAGATAGGTGCAGATAGATGCAGGAAGAGGACCGAAGCTCACTGCTCTGGGAACAGTGGCAACAAGGTGGGAAGGAGGTGCAGTGGCCTGAGGCTAGGGACTCTAGGGACGCTGAGGAGCAGAGTGGAAGGTGCTGACTAGCAAGGAGGGCCGTTTCCATCTCTGGGTTCATGGGGCGGTGCTCTGTGCTCACGAACGTACAAACGTATCTCTGACATTCGGTTGCCTGCCAGGTGGGTACTCAGAAATGCACACTCCTGTACAGCTGCTGGACCAGACAGCAGTCTGCTTTTAGTGTTTCCTGGAAGCCTCACACTGTTTCCCACGGCAGCTGTGCCTTTCCACATCCCCAGCAGTGGTTCCAGGTTCCCCGCATCCTCTCCGGCACCTGTGTTGACAAAGACATCCTGAGAGATGTCAGTCACAGTTTGACACTTCATTGAAGAAGAATATGGGTTACACATATATAGAAAAATATAGTGCATATATGTAATAGAGTATTATTGAACCTTAAAAGGGACCAACCCTATCTTATGCTACAGCATAAACAAACCTGAAGAACATTACACTCAGGGAAACAGGAGGACATATGCCATATAATTCCACTTTTATGAGGTGGCTAAAATAGTCTTATAGGAGTAACGAATACAAGGGTGGTGTCCAAGGCTGGGGAGCGGCTTGAGGAAGTGACCACAGACATTTCAGTTCTACTGGGATTTATATACATTGTGCCTATAGCTAATAAGGTGATATTGTAGCTGGGAGATGGTGGCACAGGCCTTTAATTCCATCTCTTGGGAGGCAGAGGCAGGCACATCTCTGAGCTCCAGGCCAGCTTGGTCTGTAGTGTAAATTCCAGGGCAGCCAGGACTACAGAGAGATACTTTGTCTCAACAAAACACAACCGCTCCAAACAAAAAACCCACCAAACAAACAACAGAATAAAACAAACAAGGTGATATTGTGTCCTTCTGCATTTGTACAGATGGTAGACCTCATGTTAAATTTTTGTTTTCTTTCCTTCCTTCCTTCCTTCCTTCCTTCCTTCCTTCCTTCCTTCCTTCCTTCCTTCTTTCTTTTGCACAAAAATAAAGGGATACCAGGAACCCTGTGGAAGAGTAGATCTCATATTACCTTGAATTCATGATAGAATCCCAGGTATTTACAGAGTTCAAAGCTCTTCCAAATAGCCACATTAAATATATGTATATCTTTATATATCAGTTATACCTCAAAGCTGGAGATGGGGGAGGGGGCAGGGGGAGGAAAGGAGGGAGGGCTAGTCTGTCTTTTGGGAGAAAGGTGGTCTCAAGAGCAATGTGGGAAGCCCTTCTTCCATGCAGACTGGGACTGTGCCCAAGGCTGCAATGTTTATGAAAGTCAAAAGAAAGGGACAACAGAGGAGAATCTGGACGTACACAGGCTGGCTAGATCCTAGTCATGACAATGGAACTGTGATGCTGTTTTAAAAGGTTGGTTCTTGCTTTCTATATTGGCATTAACTCGTTTATAGATGGAGTATGTCTGGGATCTGCTTTACCCATGGGAAATCCAAGAATTACTCCTCTGTTCTAGAGAGAGGCTCCAAAACAGGTCTTTTAGGAATTGGATTGCGGTATCAAGCCCCCCTATGTTTGTTCACCATTGACTAGGTGTTTCCCACTTCATGTCATTAGTCACTTGGGATGGGGAAGCATTGAGCAGCATGCTAACAAGCCCTTGCTGGAGAGGTTGTATGCACATTTCATTCTTCTTCAGGGTGACCAGTCTGCTCTGACTCACCTACACCTACTGAGAGGCCTGTGCGTCCAATATGGAAATCCCTGGGAGAAAGACATTTCCCCATCCCTGGGTATGAGGTATGGGTGCTCAGTCACCGTGGACCAAAGGGCTCAGGTGACAAGTCCTTCAAGGTCAGCTTTGTCTGGGGCTGCTACAGGCTGGGTGCGGTTTGGCAGTGTCACACATCAGTAGCTGGTGGGCGATGCTGTGGTGGCAGAACCAGTGAGAGGAGCCTGTCTGAAGGCACTTAGTCATGGGAGCATGTCCTCAGAAGGATGAACGTGGGTCTTCTGGGAACCTTTAGAGGAGATTGCGATAAGCAAGCTGACACATCCCCAGCTCACCGGCCCTCTTTCTGCCTTGTGTGATCATTCTCACACCCACCCCCACCACAAAGCTACCCTTCATGTTCTGATGATCCAGAAGACCCTTATGAGTGCTCAGCAGGTACGAGAAACCTCCACTCATTTACTATGTAGCCAATGCTGACCTCTTCTTGCCTCTGCTGCCTCCTAAGTGGTAGGATTACAGGAGCACCATCAAGGCTGAACTGCCCAAGAAGACTTTCCCACAGTCCTACAAGTGTTAGGGTGCCAATGGACTTGAGGAGACAAGCATGCCTCTTGAAATCCAGGCACCTGCACCCATAGCAACTGGTACGACCCCAGCAAAAACTCATCACATCTAGTGATGATGGTGGCAGCTTGGAGGAAACAGAAACCCACAGTGTACACAGGCTTAAGCGACAGGGTCAAGCTTTATTGGGGTGGTCACATTCATGTTTGTACTCTTCACCAAAAGTGGAGAAGGCCGGTTTAAAAATGTATTCCATTTCCTTCAATTCCATCTGTATTTTAGCAAGCAGCAACATATATTGTCCAATGAACACACCCCACCTTAAGAGCACACACTAGTTCATAAAACTGTCCTCAGACAGTGTGCAACGATATTTATAACATACCAGACCCTTTACAAGTTCAAACTTTAGAAACTTGGAGTGCACTTGCAAAGCTAACTTTGTGTATTTTTTCCAGGTAAGGAAGGCCAGTCATAAAAAAATACTTTGTATGAGTTCAAGGTCAGAACCAAAATATTCCACCCTATAAAAATATCTTGCTGATAAAACTATTAATTTCTAGATAAGTCACTCTTTATCAACAAATTATATAAAGCATTTCAGAAAATACCCACTAAGTCAGACAGTCCACATAGGACTTGTCAAGGTGACTTCAAGGTTCATTTGTCACCAGGATTTTGTTTTCAGAGATGGACCACAATTTTGACTTACACTGTGTGTGAATAGTTCAGGTGTTCTTCAAAAACTGAACTCAGATATCTATTTGCTATGAGTCATTTGCAGATAAACTCTAGACCTAGAGGGAGTTGTTAGATTGCTGTTGTCTACAGACAGAGCACAAGCTCTGTCAAGACTCGCCTACACTTAACCTTGAAATGCTTAACTTGGGAAACTTGTGATCGCGTTTTGACCACTGTCTGAGATCAGCTCATTTATTTCATTCTGCTTGCTCTCTTTCAGGGCATGGTTGGGATGGTTTCTCTGTGCTTGTGTTCTTTTGGATCTCCTGAAACACAGTTTTAGCAGCAGGTAACACAACTCGGCCACATTGAGCAGCATGCAAATCACAGATGCAGAAATCATAAAAACAGTAAACACCGTTTTCTCAGTTGGTCTGGAAATAAAGCAGTCCACAAGGTTGGGGCAGGGCTCAATGCCACATTTCAGTACCCAGGGCAGGTGGTACCCATTGTAGAGGAAGTAGAAGACATACATGAAGGCAGCTTCAAAGATGATGCGGAAGAAGATGCTGCTGGTGTATGTCCACCACAGCGAGCCCTCGATGCGCACCTTCTGCCGCTTGATGTCCTCCAGGTCTTTAAACTCATTCCTCTTCTCCCCACGTATAAACTTACGGGCAGTTTCGTGTCTGTAGTAGGCCACGTGCATGGCCACCAGCAGTGCCGGGGTGGACACGAAGATCAGCTGCAGGGCCCAGAGCCGGATGTGGGATACCGGGAAGAAGTGGTCGTAGCAGACATTCTTGCACCCTGGCTGCAGAGTGTTGCACACAAAGTCCTCCTGCTCATCACCCCATACTTCCTGGGCAGCCACCACAAGGATCATGACTCGGAAAATAAAGATGACCGTGATCCACACCTTCCCTATGCTGGTGGAGTGCTTGTTCACACCACCAATGACAGTGTGCAGGGTCCCCCAATCCATCGTGCAGCTTTATCCCTAAATAGACAAATAGGATAAAAGCCAATTAGTGGAAGGCACCTCTGAATTAACCGGCCAGTACCATAGTGCAATTACAAGGTCATACGAATCTAGGCAGGTCTCTGCTGCCTACGATGCTGTTCTCTATGTGTTCTTCTGGTAAGGAATGCCCATTATAAAGATGTTCCCTCATTTTTGGCCACAAACAACAAATAATGGACAAACTATTCCTTCCCACTATGAGGCAACATCAACCTAACAACTTCCTCACTAGATGAAGAGTTTTAATAAATGACTCACAGTAAATAGAAACTTGATTTCACTTTTTGTATATAAATTGTGCCCTTTATATGCAAATTAAGTCATCTAAATTCAGTTGAACACGGGTTGTATATTAGTTGCTGTTTGTCATTAATTCAAGAACACAAGTAAGCAAACCTGTGCCCAAATTCCCTTTCTTCATTGTGTAAATGCACACATTGTATCATTGTGGTTTTACTCAGGGACTCAGAACTTCTGCCATAGGTTTTAGTAATTAAGTGGTTTATCCAAACCACAAGATAACAGCAAAAAATCACTCCTTAGAATGACATACTCAGGTTTACTTAGCAGACTAAGAAAAAACAAAGCTGTCTGTTGACCTTATACAGTGCATATTTATTTCTAGCTTGAATGGACCATCTGCTGCAATCATGTGCTCTCCAGAAAGCTAATATCTTCAGCTACCTTCCCCAAAAGAGAATCACAAGGCTTGACACAAGTTGTTTCCTTGTTCTCTGATGGAAGCAGGCCATGTGTTGGCTGTTGCTCAAAAATACTGGTCCCATAGCACCAGGGGCCACTGAAGCCCAGAACTTTCTTCCCTTCTAAAAGACTGATTTGACATCCTGAGAGAAAAAGATTTTCTTTCCTCTAAGGCATTGGTTTTCAACCTTGTTAATGCTGTGGCCCTTTAATGCAATTCCACAGGTTGTGGTGACCCCCAAACATAAAGTTATTTCATTGTTACTTCAGAACTGTAATTTTGCTACTGTTATGAATCGTAATGTAAATATCTGTAATTTTTTTTGTGGTCTTAGGTGATCCCTGTGAAAGGGTTGTTCAAACCCCAAGGGGTCAAGACCCGCAGGTTGAGATCCATTGTTCTATGGCGATTCTTGCTATAATTCAAACAGCTGCTTCTTACCCCACATCACCAAGAAGGAAAAATTGGTTGGCGTGCTCTTTTTTTTTAAGGGTGTGTATGTGTGTGGGGTAATGAGTGACGGACACCAAAGATGTTTAGAAATAAAGACAGTCAGGCAAGTTTTCATCTACTTGGAGGGGATGAGAGAGTCATCCAAGTCCTTTTGTTGCTGGTCTCAGGAGACTTTCTCTGGAAGTGGGTGACGAACAATGTCCAAGTTCCCCCCAAAGTGAACCATGGTCAACATCTAACCATGCCTGATCTACAGCCCACCCTCAGCATTGCCGGCCACTCCTCACACTGCCCACCATGCCCCCTGGGATATCCTGGGTTTGACTAATTTTAGAGTTTATGCTTTTCTCAGAAAGCCACCAGGTTTGGGCTCACAGAGCGGCTGCCACATCCATCTGACCCGTGTGTGCTGATTTCTGCTCCTTCTGGGTCAGATAGTGGGAGCTCAGGTGCATACCCTGGGGCATAGAATCAGGCATGATGGGGGGCATACTCAGAAATTTCCATGTGTTTTGGTTCCAAGAATTTATCCCCTTGCCATGGGTCAGAACACCAGAATGTTCACAGTTGCAAACATTGATCACATGCTGTGACTACAAGGCTGCCACCAGAACATCTGGATTCTTAGAGCCACCTGAACCTGAGCTTGCTCACCCCAGTACAGGTGGCAAACTGACACAATGATTTTAATTCAGCCTGGACTGATCAAATCTTAATTTTTCTAATAGAAAAGAGGAATTGAATTCTATCCTCAAGGATTTGCAAAAATGGAGGAATGAGGCTTCTTAAAAACATGCATCTATTGTTATGAGGGGCAGGGGAGGACGAGAAACATCCTAAAGTCACAGAGATAGGGACAACACAGATTAAGGGTTAATGGAGAGGCCTAAAATCTGTAGAAACAAAACCAAAATGAGAAAACAAAGTCAAACATCTACAATATGAAGAGGAAAGACAAGTAGTGGGACACTCCTTGGTTTATATGGCTATGGTTACCTTTTGCTGCTGTTTTTGTTTTTGAGAAAGTCTCATGTATCCCAGACTGGCCTGGGACTCCTGATTCTCCTTCCTTTACCTCCTGAGTTGGAATTACAGGCATGGACCACCATGTCTCACTCCAGACAGTTCAATTTTAATTGGCAACTAATAGGAAGTATCTATTTACTTATTCACAGTGCTGGGGGTGGAACTCCAGAACTTTGTGTGTGCTGGGTAGGCACTCTACCAGCTGGACTGTATCAGTGAGCCTGACCTAGGGTACTTTCTGTATAACCTCCAGCAAGGATCCACAATGACACTTTGTAACTATTTTGTAACAACTGAGTAATAATTACCATGGCAATGGCATGGACAACATCTAAGAGTTTGTAGACACTAGTGTTTGTAGACATAATGTCAATAACATAGTTGCATCCTCACAGTTCCTTTAATAATATTACATCATAACTCCATAGTTAAGCGCTTTGTATGAGGAGCATGGTTATCAATAGGACTTTAGTGTCTTTTGTCTTGCTGCAGAAAAATGCCTTAGGCTACATGAGAACCAAGTGTCCAGGCTCTAGGAAGACCCTGGCATTCTGGGGCACATGTGGAAGTCTAATTAGGTAATAGAGTCTTGAATGAGGGTCTCTTGTTTTACAGGAAGAGCAGCTAAGGGACCAAGGCCAACTAATGTGAAGGTCTGGGCTGTGGGGCACCTTGGCAATTGTAGCAAATAGAAAAGTCAAACCTTGTACTCATATGGAACTTAGAAGCTGGCTTTTGTATTTCACATTAACAGAAAACTAGGAGTCTGAAAAACTGCAACAGGCTCTTGGTAAAGCTATGGTTTTCAGCCCTGGAGGCCTTTAGTCAGAGGCAAGCTGAGACCCACCAGGCAGAGAAATAGATCGCTGGGAAGCTATGGTCTCAAGCTCCACAACCTAAAAGTATTTATTAAGTGTTCTCTCTTACTTACTATGTATTCCATGCCCCCAAAGAAACCTTCATTCACCATCGTAAGTATCTGTGTGGTTAAAAAAACCCAAAAACTTCATCTTAATTAAATTTTAGTTTTTTCCGGAAGACACTATATTAATTTTCGCTAACACTTGCTGCCATGTTCTGGGGGCCTGCGAGGAGGCAGAGGTGTGTAAGTCTTGTAGTTCACACATCCTTTTGCCACAGCTGTTCCCCCATGAGGTATTGTTCATTTTAAAATGTTCTCTCGTTAGCCAATTAGCACAAAACTCTGCAATTTGCCCCACGGATGCGGTTTATCAAATAAGAGCTTTCCCTTTCCCCCAGTGCTGCAGTCCTTGGGGTCTGAGTGGCCCTGTTCCTCTGGGAGCTCTCCATCACATCCCTTCTTACTGGTCACCTGACTTGTCAAGCTCTCCATCACATCATCCCTTCTTACTGGTCACCTGACTTGTAGGAAGCAAATGGATCAGTTTACCAAGGACCACAGAGCTTGAAGAATGCTGAAGGGCTGCGGTCACAGGGGTGGTCGAGAGATCATATTTTCTCCATAAGAATACTGGTCCCACACCCCCGAAATCAGAGCAGATAGAGACAATATGAGAGCACTAGCTTTGCTGTTGGTATCCACAGCCCGCCATGGGCCTTCAAATTGGGAACTCTAAAGACTTTCTCTCTACCTACCACATTTGACTAGAAGACAATCAATTTCAATACACTTAACTTACTTTAACATTAAAACCTAGAATTTAGGTGTATGTGGTGGTGCATGCCTAGAATCCCAGCACATGGGGCCTGGACAGAAGCACTAGAAGTTCCAGGCCAACCTGGGCTACAAGATCCTGCCTCAAATACTTCAGACAAAAACTCGACCCCCAACCATAAATTCTTTTTGTTGCTACTTCATACCTGTAATTTTGCTACTGTTATGAATCAAATGTAAATGTCTGTGTTTTCCAATGGTCTTATGTGACCTCCATGAAAGGGTCAGTCTACCCCCATAAATGTTGAGAACCACTGCTTTAAAGAATTACAACAACATAAAATGTCTAAGTCATCAAGGAAAACAAAGTTAAACTCAAATATTGGCATGTTTAGCCTACTGGTCACTCAAGACAGTTGGGCAAAAAGCAAATCACCTGATCCAAAGGTTCTTCCTGAAAAGCAATAAAGATTCCTTTGTTTATAACAGAGGACATAAACAAGAAAGAGGGAGATTACCACTCTACATAGTTCACTCTGGCCCTAAGTGGCTGTACCAGGGACATGAGGTGAACTTGGGTTAGCCCTTTCCATTAGTGAAATGGATCTTGTAGTTTCTTTGTCTAGATCATGCCATTCCTGAAGTGTCTTCCTTAAAGCCTTGGGTATTTGTCCTATAGAGCATTTTTCATGGGCCAAAAGCAAGAAAGTAGAGGTCACCTTTTAAGTGTTAGGAATCAGTACAGGGTGACGGGCCGTCTGGGGGTCCTGAGCCCTACTCTTCTGTATTCATGACTTCAGCTCTTGGTAAAGTCTGGCTGCTTCCCAGAGACTCTTCGCCACCTAAGAAACTCCCTGAGGAGTTGAGGTGGTGGGCAGCTGAAGATGAGAGGACTTCTATCCTGTGTTACCAGTGAGCAGAGGCACGTTGGTCAGTGGGAGGCAGACTGAAGACAGGGCGTAGGAAGGTCTTGCCCCTTGTATTCTTGTAGGAACCCACGGCCTTTAGTTGTAGAGAAGTGTGGAGGTGCCCACCATTGTAGAGAGCTGCGAAATGCCGCACCCTTAAGATGGCGCTGGCTTCCGCCTTCTGCTAGCCGGACAGCAAGTGCTCTCTGTGATAAACAACTCCTTAAGAGCCCCCCACCTGCATTTGATTAAGGCTGGATATCAGGCTTGCTTCCGCGTACGTGGACCTATCTGCATGTTCCACGTGGCATACTGGGGTTGGCCGCCCAAGGGCTTTTAAGGTGTGGGTTGGCACTCCCCAGGGTCAGAAGATTGTTCAAGGTTCCTGAATAAACTGCTTAAAGAAGAGTCGGAGCGTTGCATCTTCCTTGCTGGTCGAGGTGGGAGCGACAAGTGGTGGCCCGTACAGGGACCCTTTCCAATCGACTCAGAACTTTCTGCAGTCAGGGCAACGTGCTGGTAAGTTCCCAAGGTAAGGTGGGACAAAAAAGGGACTGCGACAAGAGCGGGGTAAAAAAGGGACCGCAACGAGAGCGGGTTGGTTTGCTCTTCTCTGTAGGTAAAGAGAGAGCGGGACAAACAGTTCACAGAGCAGCGAACCGAAAGTAAAAGCTTAAAAGAAACATTGTTAGTTTGGATGTATTATATCTGTTCCTGTTCAGTGTGCTAATTTTACAAAAGCTGCAAATTTGTCCAAGTATTTGTCCAGTTTTCTTTTACAGAATTGGTCACTCGAATTTGAAGATACTTTGAAGGAGTTGAGGCTGGCAGTGGTCCATGTGAATTCCACCAGAGTGGACCTTTCTTTTGCATCGGGATTATCGTCTTGGCTGACTTCTGCGATGAACCATATAAAAGAGTGGGCAGGTATAGGAGCATTAACAGGTCTCTTGGTGTTGGTATCCCTGGTTTTGCTTGTGGTTTCTATGTAAGATTAGAGTCGCACAAAGATGCAATGCAGCCATGATCATTCAGGCCTTTACCGCTATTGAAGCAGGACAGTCCCCCCAGGCATGGTTGGCTACCTTAAGAGCTGATTAAATGCGATCAGGATGCGATGCAAAGCACTGCACTCTGTGTCAGCTAACAGTGACCCGGAGAAGAGCATGTCTGATTGCATGCGGGTTGGTACCCAAGAGTCCCGCCTCTGAAAAAAAGGGTATCGGACGGGTCTGATGCTCGTTGGGTGGATGACACCAAGATGAGAAATCAGTACAATGTCCCTGTCTATGTCAGAGATTAGACCTCTACTCTTGCCTGTTGCATTTAAAACAAAAAAGGGGTAACTGCAGAGAGCTGCGAAGTGCCGCACCCTTAAGATGGTGCTAGCTTCCGCCTTCTGCTAGCCGGACAGCAAGTGCTCTCTGTGATAAACAACTCCTTAAGAGCCCCACCTGTATTTGGTTAAGGCTGGATATCAGGCTTGCTTCCACGTACATGGACCTATCTGCATGTTCCACGTGGCATACTGGGGTTGGCTGCCCAAGGGCTTTTAAGGTGTGGGTTGGCACTCCCAGGGTCAGAAGATTGTTCAAGGTTTCCTGAATAAACTGCTTAAAGAAGAGTCTGAGCATTGCATCTTCCTTGCTGGTCAAGGGGGCGCGACACACCATCTGAGAAATGGTCACCAATTCACAAATAATTTCCCAAATTGCTACAGCCACCAGAACTCTTCACTACTTGCAGTGAGCAATACCTCGCTTTTCTTCCATGCTTCAAGGGTCCTGAGCTTATTGGAGGAGGCTTTTCAGTGAAAATCAAGCTATTAATTCTTTCTTTGTATGCCACAGAAGTTTGTTTAATCTGACAGCTTCCTGACTTGCCTATGAGGAACAAATAAATAGATAAGCTTAGTTCCACAGATGTCACCCTACAAGAATGTGGTTGTCTTTAGGCTTAAGAAGACAAATCACATCTATTTCTGTGATGTATTACAGGGCACAATTCTATACAAATTCTTGGTATTATAATTCCAGTCTTAAATATTTAACTCTAAAAAATACAGCAATGAGCTCACTTTTGGGACATCATTATGAAGTACATTTATTCTTCCCTTTCACAAATAAGCTAAGTCTACTTTTGCTCCAGCAATGATGAAATTTTATCATTTTTACAATTTTGTTTTGAGACAGGTCTTACTATGTATCTCTGACTGGCCTTGTACTCCTAGGGTGACCTTAAACTTGTAATAATCCTCCTGTCTCAGCTTCTTGAGGGTTGAGATTCACAGGTGTACGTCACAATAACTGGCTTTTGAAGCTTTTGGTATTTGAAGGTTGAAGACAATTTTATTAGAGTTGAAGAGAAAGCATCAGGGCCACGGAGCTCTCAGTGTCAGCAGCTGCTAGGGGGAGGGGATGAGGAAGAAGAGAGAAGCTTTGCCTTTTGAGTTAGTCAGAGTGTTCAGTAAAGGAAGTTGCAAAACTTTTTACTTAGGAATTTAATCATGCTGCCATTTTAGCTCCATGGAAGACAGAACCAAAACCAAATCCCTCAGCACACAGAAAGAACTTTCTTTTTCTAGATCAATCTACATTACGACTTGAGAAAAAAACATCAGTTGATTATTGATTAGATCCAAGAGGAAAGCACACTCCTTACAATGCCCCTGTGAGGCCTGTAGAGTTGAGGGTACAAGGAAAACAGGTCCAAGCAAAGCACTCAAACCTGCGTCTTATGCCCAAGGACTCCCAGGGTGCCCAGCTCAAGAGCCAAGGTGAAATCCCTCTGCAAGGACTTCTGGCTCTTCCTCCAACTCCTTTGAAATCTGCAGAGCAGTGATGATGGCACTAAGATGATGCTCTGTTTATAGATGGCAGTGGGAATGTCACCTGTTGAAAGAAAAAATTTTGTTGTCATATTCTTTTAAGTTCCGTGTCAGTTCACTAGGTGAACTTTATGGGTAGTTTTCCTTGATCACCAGACCCATTAAAGGTAAATTTGGGTCCTGTCAGTTTCTTATGCTTTGTACTCCCCTACCCCATCAAAGGCGCTCTCCAGGGTAGACTCATTTCCCTATCATCATGATAACAATGGTGATGATGATACTCTGTCCCAAACCTCAAACCCAGTAAGTGTGCAAATAGTGGCAAAGAGTTTCAAAAGCTGGGTACAGCCACCCACCCCCATTCCAGAGTTAAAAACAAATCCCAAAAGCCTTTCTGTCATCAAGAAGTCTCTAGAAATCTCAGATGACCCAAGAGACAACCTGATAGTCGAGTTTGAAATGTAATGACGCAAACCATCAGGAACTGTGATTTCAAAACAGTGACTGGTGATGGCACTGGGTTTAGGATTCATACTCCTTGTCAACATCAACTCAATGTCAATGAAACTTTTGCTATGCCTTTAAATGTAAGAATGGACAATCCACAAAACTATGTTTCTTATTCCACTTGAGTTACAAAAAAATATTCCCCTTTATAACCTTCTTAGCAGTTGCCTGTTCCAAGCTAAGCTTCTCACCTCTCCCAACATTTCATTTGGGTTCAAGTACAATTAAATGGCTCTGAAGTGGGGAAGGGGAGCTTCCAGGGCCCAGTTCCACTCTCCCAGATCAAGCTATAGCTCCTGAATATCCCAGCTAGGGCAATGTAAGATCATGCCCTAATGGGCCAAGAAACTTGGATTGAAAACGACTTTCCCATAATTGCAATCCACTTAACCAGTACACCCAAGCTCAAAGTCTCTGGAATTTTTAGACCAAATCAGAACTGCACGGTGAGGTAAGGCTATGTAAGTCAGAATTTCCTTTCCATTGCAGGAATTGTTGAAAGAGCCTACCTAGCTCTTTTCATTCTCATCACAGTACAAAGGAGAGAAAGAACTAGAGAACAAAATTACCATTGGAACTTACCTTTAATGACAGCCACCAGTGACCCAGGTTGATGGGCCAGTCTCCTGGGTCTCAGTAGCCCTGGGGAGGTGAATGGGAACCCTTCACACCCTAGTGATAAGTCAGGCTAGCACCCACTCTCTCCATCACCACCTCCCCTCCTTGGCACTGACTGGACAACACTCCCCAAAGACTCTGCTAGATCCAAAGAGCTGACAAAGCTCTCCACAGGGGCAGCTCTGAGCGGTGCCCTGAACTGCTAAAATCTGCATCAGGACAGGACGTTTTCTTCTAGAACACTGGTCAGATTCTGCTAGAACTAGGGCAAAGCAGGCATACAGTCTACTTGAAGGAAAACAAGGCTGCAGGCACAAACTGACTACGGTCCCTTGGTTGGTGCCTCTTACCTCGGCTGCAGGTCCATAGCCCTTTCAGTGCCCACAGCTGTATGAAGGCCACGCTCCCTGAGACGGGTCCCCAGGAAGAGAAGGAAGCCCAAGTCTACAAAAACCAGGCTAACACCTGCCTGAGACTAGGCTCCTTCACCCGACAAGGAAATACTACCCGTGCTTGAACTTTTTAATCAGATGTGTCACCAATTACTTTTAATTACTATTGTGCACGCCACTGTCATCTTTGTTTCATAAGTTCCTGAGTCTTAATCATGCAGTCTGAATGGGCATTTCTGTCCAAAACTTATCCATTGCTCCAAGTCTCGGGGTTGGATTGAATTTAAACATCAGTTTTTTGTTTTTGTTTTTGCTCTGCTGTTCCACTCCCCCAAATCCAAATGGAACAGGTTGACGACCTCCAAAGACAGCCCCAAATCAGCAAAGGAAATGGGGAAAGGGACTCAGTCCGGACTCTGGTCACTTCACACAACTTGATGTTAAAACCTGTTGTGCAAGTCAGAGGGGCACGGTGTGTGCACAAGTCAAACCAGTCGATCCCAGTTTCTGGAGCAGCGCGGGGGAGGGGACGACGCGGATGACAACCACCTCGCAGCGGTTCTAGTCCGCGGGGGGCGCGCAAAGGCTCCAGGATGCCGATGGGAGGCAGATAAGGACGCGGGAAGTCCAGGTGCAGGCACCCACCACACCGCAAGACTCTGCCTGTGGCCACCGGAGCCCTGGGGACAATCGCTACTCCTGCGCCCCACAGGGCAAATATGGCGAGGAAGGGGACAGACCACTTCCTTAACCTGCTCGGGCTTCTCTGAGGAAATTGCCCCACTCGCGCTTACCTGCTCGGTGGGATGCGGCTCCCGGCTTGCAGCGGTGCGCTCAGCTCCGGTCGGGCGGGCGCCCACGGTTTGCAGCGGGAACGGAATCCGGGACTGTGCGGGTGGAGCCCCGGTTCCCACCTGCGGCTTCTTTTAACTGCGCCCCACCCCGCCTCTGCCTGACGCCGCACAGGAGGGCTGCGGGAGAGGAGCGCGGGCACACGACGCCTGCCGAGGTGCGCACCGCCTTCCCTCCCTGCCGGGGGCGCTGGGCGGGTCCCCTTCTGTGGAGGGCCTTCCCTGTGTGGTTGGGGGAGCAGGGCAGGTCGTCTTAGGGGGCATATATTAGAGGACGCAGGTGAGACCCTTCCTCTGGGGCCAGGGACCACAACAAGTGTTCCCTAGGAGAGGTACCAGCTTAAGCTCTAGGTGCAAGATGGTCTTCTCTTGGGTTGGGGACACAAGGCATGTCCCTTCTCGTGGATGTGGGTGGAGCGTGGACCGCGATGGGCAAGCTCAGCCAGGTCCCAACAAGGGCAGGAAAGAGTTGCCCGCAGAGGCCTTGCTGGGGCTGGACACCGGAGGTGAGGGCTGCCTAGAACACCAAGGGAACACAGACTTTGGCTGAGTGGGCCGAGCGCCAGCAGATGTCTCTTCTGTTGGTAGCAGTGTTCCGGAGGCAGCTGCCTTATTTTCATCTTCCTTTCTGGACCCTTTGGGCACCCTCTCCTCCAGTGCAGCCCAGGGGTTCAGTTTCATTAATGAGCACTTAGGAGTCACAAGTGTTGTTTTTATTAGTCACCCGAATCCCTTAAAGCCTTCTCCAGGGAAGTGAAGTGGGTCCCCTCTGGTCCACGGCAGTGAGAGACGGGAAAGGTGAGGACAAGCAAAAGGGTGGTGTGGGGGCCATCGGGCTGCAAATGTTGGAAACCATTTAGGGACCCGGCTTTACAGAGCCTGCCTTATCCTGCATCAGACAACGGATGTGTAACTTGCTTATTCCACAAAATTGGTTGGTAATTACATCGTCCCCACCTTGGCTATATTCTACTTGTTGGTTCATATTCTTTCACAAGAATGAATAGTGTTTCCTAAAATGTCTCTCCCAGGTACTGGAAGTTAAGCCAACACTTTATGAAAACCCACCTTCTAAAATACATGAACACAAGGTTCTCAGAAGTGGCCCGATCACACAAATTTAGAGTATTTGGGTGGTCACTGGAATGGCCTTGAACCCAGGGATGGAGATAAAAAGGAGACAGCTGTAGAGCGCCCTGGTGTTCCTCCCTGCCTCCCACAGCCTGGCCACAAGGCCAGCTTAGTTCCTTCTGTATTCCACTGGAAGTACACATTCCAGGCAGGCTCACCTGTGGCCACAGGAAAACCAGCCTCCCTGCTCCCTGCACCAAGCAGAGTGTTGGAGATCATAGTGTTTTACGTCTTAAGCTCTTGGTTTCTTTCTCCTTCCTTCATTCTTACAATAATGGGCCGTTTGCACATAGTAGGCACGGGTCCACAAGTATCTGTGCATTGCTTGGCAGAGCTGAACCGTTACAGCAGATAATCCTGGAGAACAACTTTTGCTTCTTCCTGTGGAAAAAGATCTCACTCCTGGTTCAGGCTCCTTATATGCCAGTGCCTGGGCAGGCCATGGGAAGACGTTCCAGGGCCACACAGGACAGAAGTTAGACAACAGAGCCCGGAGGATTGCCTTATTCCACAGGTGTCCAAAGAGGAGCCCTCTCAATACAGAAAATGACCTCTTTGTTGTTGTTCATGAAGATCATCAGTGTAGCTCAGAGGCCTTTCATCTTGTCGCGTATTTCTTAGCAGTTACTTTTATTGTTCAATTTTCACTTCTCATCAGGGAGGTTTGTTGTAGCAGAAATTCATGTAGACCATGTGAGCTTATTGATTTGCTGAGCTTCTCATTAGGAAACTGAAAAGTCAGGTTATCAAACACATGGTAAGGATACAGAGATGCCCAGAGTGGTGATGCAGCATGTGATTTGTTTGTCAGCCATGAAAACTTTCAGGAGACAGATACCATGAGACTACCATCTCAAAGCATTGTACCGCCCCGAGAAAGATCCTTGTAGACTTTCTCGTAACTGGGAACCTGAATTAATTTGATTATTTCCTCCTCTTGCATTGCGATGGTGATTCCTAAGGCCCTAACATTAATGGGTATAAGATGCGTGAGGTGTGGACTCTGCGGTCTGAGATGAGCATTTCTCCCCTAGTGCCCTCTCGTCCCTTTGCAAAAGGAGCAGAGGAGACTGTCACTCCTTTTGCTGGCAGCTGCTGCATGTGCTCGGGGATGGTGTCCTGTCCCATTGCTCAGGCCCTCACTGTCCAGTCTGGAAACATAGGACCAGACTGTGTTTTCACCGGCATAGTTCTCCATGCCTGGAAGAGAGGAAAATGTGTGTCTCTACCAATCTGAGCTATATCCCCAGTCCAATAAACACTTCTTGAAAGCATTCACTTGACAAACGCCAGCTGGGATCCCAGAGTACACCAAACACAGCACTTGTGCTTGCATGGGGCCTACGAAGAGTCAGAGGATGCTGTCAGCCGGGTATCCCAGCTGGGCAGAAAGACCAGCAATGACTAAGCAAGCATGCATCATCCAGTGGAACTCCAGTAAAGGGACAAGTCCTTAGAGAAATGGCTTGTTCCAGAGCTGGAGCTGAGAGTCCCCAGGGTGAGCCTGCAGCATCTTGTAGGGATAGAAAGTGCTGCAGCGTGCACATATACACAGAATTGTGGGTGAACAGCAAAGGGGAAGCAGGAGCCAAGTGAAAAAGTGGGAACATCAGAATGAGGAAGAGATCGTGAGGCTATAATCCAAAGAGCAGAATAAATATCCATGAGTATGGGCTGATAAAAAGAAGTGATTGGGAGAACTGACAAATATCACCTACAAAAACCAACAGAGAATCCCCACACCTTAGGTGTGGGTGCGCAAGTGACCTTGTCAGAGACGTACTATGTAGGAGTGGGAAAGAGTGACACTCTAGGGGCAAAATCTGACAGGCACTACCTCAGCCGCTTGGCCAAGATGGGCACGGGCAGTAAGGGGCCAGTGCATTACAGGTCTGTGCTTTGGATATGATGATTGACAGTAACTCTTTCCTTCCATGGCTATTCTCTCGAAGCACTTAGCCCCCATCCAATCCTGTGGACAGACTCAGACAAACCCCAGTCCAAAAATAAAAGCTAATGTTTGTCTAGTCATTCAAAAACAGGCCCAATGCTGTATTTAGTAGCCTGTCCCTCACTGGGGTTTGTCCTCCACTATATAGAAAGTTCCAGGGCTGCCTGGGTTATTTGATACTTAATTGCAAACATTAGAAGAATCTAGTTTTCAAAAGCAATGAGAAGAGTGGTTCTAGCACATTTGACCATCAGTCAGGTGCCTTGTACATCACATGGTGGCAGCCAGGACATATCATTGCTTTATGTAAAAATGGTTTGGTCTGATAGTGAAGTGTGACTTCTGCTGTTGCACATGGTGGAAGAGTGTCAGATACAGAGCTTGTCCCATGTGGAAAGGCGTCTACAGAGAAGCACAGAGGATGTCACTATGGTTCTTTACTTTCCAGGCCCAGAAATAACATTTTGAAGACACCATGCTCAGCAAGGTTCTAGGCCACAAAGCCAGTGCATTTTCTGCTGGAGGTGTGTCTGCTAGGCCATGCACACACATGTTCTGCTGTTGAGCCTAGAGGGAGGATCACAAGAGCTGGGGGATTTGAAGGGTTTTTTCCACCTGAGATCCGATTACATTGGCCTTCTGGGAAAATGATCTGAAGTGTCTACAAGTAGGGCATTTCCCCAAGAACATCTGGACTCTCCATCTTTGGTTTCTTGCTGCCTAAAGTGTATCCATCCTACAGCCCTAATTTGAAAACATCTTCTCACAGTCTGTCATTGAGGGAAGCCAAGGCAGGAACCACGAGGGCATGCTGCTTCCTGGCCTGCTCTCTATGACTTGCCCAGCTTGTTTTCCTATACATTTCAGGACCACCTACCCAGGGTAGCACCATCCGCAGTGGGCTGGACCGTCCCACATCAATCATTCATCAAGAAAACGCTCCACAGACTTGACTACAGACCAGTCTAATGGAGGCAACTCTTCAATTGAGGGTACCTTTCTCCAGGTGATTGTAGTTTGTGTCAAATTGACAAAAACTAACCAACACAGGTAGTTTTCCAATACATTTATGGAGATTATTTTTCCTGATTTCATTTGCTTTTTAAATGAATTTTTAAAAAGTACATCCAGTATTTCTTTAATAACTTATCAGTAACTTCTTTAGAATGTTTACACAGAGGGTGGTACTCATTTGACAGTAAGTCTATCAGAGCCTTAAGTCCACATCTCAGTGATTTACTAAAATGCTTTCACTTCTGGCCATAGAAGAGTATGTTACATCACATAATAACATCACACGGTACTATTTCACAACGTAAAGACGAACAAGATGGAAAAGATTGCAAAGCTTTATTTTTCAGGAGACCAGCAAGGGATGGAAAGATCTGGGACAGCTTTTCAGCTGGAGGGGAGGCTGAAATGGGGGTGGCTGGGAGAGTCTGATATGTGCTGGTGACTGTGAGGAGACAGGCTAGTCTGCTTAAACTGGAAGGCTTGTGCTGGGAATAAAAGGACACACAGTCGGGGTGTGTGGCTAATCTGGGAGGGATGTTGAGCCTAGGACATGAGACAGGGACAGCACTGGGCAGAGCTGAATAGGAGATCTTAATGTTGTGTTTAAGAGCTAGTGTTCTATGATTGCACGCATCAGGTTGCATGTACCCTTCAAAATGACCACGCCAGAATTTAAGAACTACATGGCAGCGCTAAGTGGTGATTAGGCTTCCCCTTCTAAGGGATTAATGCCTCCACAAAAGGGTGAGCTTGGTCCCTATTCCTGTCTTGCCCCCTCGTCTTCATGTGAAGACGGAGTGTTCTAATCACGTCTTTGAAGCAGAACTGTTCAGCTGGCCAGCATCTCGACATGGCACTTCCCAGCACGGAGAACTGGAGCCAGTAACTTCGTGTTCATTATCAGCTGCTCAGTCTGAGGTGCTCTGTTAGGGCAGCGTTAAGCCTGCTCAGACAGTAGCCAGCAGCTATGGTAATTTGGACGGTATCTCCTAAGCTATGAGCCAACAGTCCCCTGCCATGTTCTGATACAGGAAACAGACTCAGCTGAAAATCGAACGGGCAGCTGGAGATTGCATGCAGAGGCCAGAGAATGGCCCACAGGGAGGGAGGGGCTGCTGGATGGGGCCTGGGGTGATGGATTCCCAAGTGGCACTGTAGTACAACTGAGGTTGGAAATGATGATTGCTGGGGCTCAGCTGCATCTCAGAGGAAGACATTCCAGTGAGCCAAACCTTCTCTTGCCACCAGCAGAAAAGAATGCTGACAAAAATCGCCGCCTCAAGAGTGCCTGGTGTTGATGACGTTGGCCTTGGGCTGTGCCAAAAAAGCCCCGTTAAATGAAATGGGAAGTCAGGAGTGAAATT